TCAAAGCAGATAGTCCACATTACTTGCTTTGAACTGGATCATATGAGTCCACACTGCCATCCAGCTCAAATCAAATAATCTGGTTTGTATATGGCAGTGTAGATGGGGCCTTAGAAACCCACTGGGTGACCTTGGGCAAGTTACACTCTCTCAGCCCTAGAGGAAGGCAGTGGCAATCTTCTTTAAATAAATATTGCCAATAAACCCTATTATAGGTCTCCCACAAGTTGACATCAACTTGTGAAGGCACACAGCAGCAAGAATTAAACCCAGTGTGAAATGTGCAGTTCCTGGCAGCCACTTTCAGTCTTAAACATTTCTGTAGAATATTTTTTTTAAAAAATAAGACCAAATAGCAAGATAAGCAGGGTATCTTCTGACAGGAAACAAAAGACAACGATATCTCAAGAAGAGCATTTCCTTGATTCCAAGATATCATCAAGTGCAAAATGCACAATAGTTTCAGCACTACCAACAGAAAAACAGATCTGATATGTGTGTGTGTTTGTGTGTGTCTATATGTTTGTATGCATGCTTGACCCCAAGATGCACCCTGTTTTCAGAGCTGTTATACAGGTGGGAAAAAGTGCATCTTAGAATCAAAGAATTTGGGTATATAATGTAGAATACAACACTATGCCTCCTAGTGGCTATAATCTGCCATCATGAGAACTGTTTATAGAACACGTGCTGGTACGGCTGTACCAGGAGCTTCAACTTCCTTTTCTTTCTTTGAGTATTTGCATGTATTCCAAAGTTCCAAGCATTTTGCAATAAGGTGGCTTCCCTTGGTTTTCAGCCACCGATGCATGTAGCGAGGGGGGGGGGGCGGTATGGGGGCTTCCCCCCCCCCCGGCAATTCTGATGGTGGTCCGCGAGAAGCCTTACTGGTACATTATTTAAACTGTTATGTTTATTCATATCATGATCTGATCACTATGCTCAATATATCCCATATGCATGGGGGTATTGGGGTAACGAATACAAAAGGTTTGCTAGGGTAGACCCTCTTTCACTCAGACTCAGCCCCCCCCCCCCCGAATCAAACTCAACCCCCCCCCCCCCCGAATCAAAATCCTGGCTATGGGCCTACAGCCACCTGCCTATCATCATTGGGTTTTTTAGTTCCGCCCCTTTCCCCAGGGTTCAGAAGGAAAGGGAGCCATTTTGGCTCAGTCTTACAGTTGAAAGCTTAGCTACAGGACGTGAATCAGCTCCACCTGTAGAGAAGCTTCATTTCTTACGAAATTCCGGGGGGAAACAGTTCCAAAGGACTCCAGCTGGAGAATCTACAAAGCCTTGACTGGTAGGTCTACTCGGGACCCAAGAAGCAGTTTGGAGCCGGGAGTAGAGCCCACACCAGCAAAGTTTAGAAAGTAGATTGCCCAAGGAGGGGTTAAAAAGGGTTTTCCTCTTAAAGAAAAAAAAAACAGTTCACAAAGCCAGTTACCTGTCCCTTGTGGACAAGATTAAGAAAGCCACCAGTTTAAGTATTTGTTTGGCCTGTTGAAGATCTGAGAAGTATTTGTTTGATTTATTGAAGACCTAAGCAATAATAAAGGACTTTGTTAAACTTTTCAAGCTCCTAAAGACTTTGTATAGGAAAATCCTTAGGGCCTCTCAGCTGAGGCACCCTGGCTTCCCGCTGTGCACAAAGAGCACGTCCTGTTCAAAAGCCAATTGCTATAGGCCCAGTGCGTGACAGCACAGAACAACTTTTGAAAAGTAAAACAAACCCTATCATAGAAGTGAGTGAAACGTCATGTGATAATGCTTCTGAACATGGCCAGACAGCCCAGAAAACTCACAGCAACCCAGTGATTTCGGCCATGAAAGCCTTCAACAACACTTAAAACAAACCCATCTTAATTCAGGGTGCGTAAATATTTGGCTTCTATACCAAAACCAGTTCTGAAGCCTCTTCCCTTAGCATCTTGGCCAGAAAGCAAACTGTTGCAATCTCTCAGTCCTTACAGCTTTCTCTTTTTAATCTCTGGAGTTAAACTGAGCTGCTAGATGAATGCAGCTATCCTCTCTTGCAGAATAGCATTTACTCACTGTGGTACTGAAGTTGGTCTTCTGTAACATAAAAAGGGGAAAATCTAACAGCATCTGTTTTTATTTTAGCAAGTCAACTGATTTTTATTTTAGCATGTTATTTCGTTGATATCAATTGCATCTGAAGAAACTGGTTGATATGCACTAAATTTATTTATTATTAAAGCACGTACTAAACTAAAAATTCAGCCATGGCTCAATGTTATAGAATTGTGGAAGTTGTATTTGATTAGGCAGAGAAGACTAAAAACCTTTTCAAAATGGACTAAAACATCTGGCTACAACTAGCAATGTTTCTCCAACACAGAACAGCAGCAGTTTGTAAATTCTGTCCTCCAAATGGAAATCTGGAAACTGCTGGCATGATTTCCTCGATGCAAATATTATGCCACTTAGGCAAAGCAGCAAATAACGATTTAAAGTTTACAACACTTATCTTGACTGTGACAACCAAAACCAAAGTCTCAATTGGTTGCTAAATTAGCAGAGGCAGGCTGGTTTTGTCACTGTTAGTGTGTTGCAGCTAATGAATGGCATGACAAATGCTAATCTGGTATGCATTTGGGATTGTATTATTTAAATGATACAAAAGGTACTTCATGCCTTTACCCAACAGGTTACAAAATGGTTTTCTAGATATTGAGTGTGTGTTTGTGAACCATAAGAGTTGGAAAAGATCCCAAGGGCCATCTAGTCCAACCCTCAATCTATGAGCCTAAGTGGGCATGGCACTTAAGTGTATTTATCAGAACTTTTGTGTCTCTAATTCCAAGGACTTGTTCCTTCAAGTGTGTTTCCAACCTGTGCTAGCATCTACACCAGGCATGGGCAAACTTCACTTTAACAGCTGAAACTCAATGCTATGGAATAATGATAGTATTACAAGGGGTTTAGCTTTCCTTGATACAGTGAACTAGTGTCTCACAAAACTACAAATCCCAGGATTCCATAACAGTGAGCCATAGCAGTTAAAGGGGTATCAAACTGCATTAATTCTACAAAGAGCAGATATACCCATCACTGTTTTTCTGGCTTCCTGTGAGGCTGAGAATGTGACCCAGGCTGGATCTAAGCTGCCATATAATTCAGATTATCAAAGCAGATCATCCAGATTGTCTGCTTTGAAATGGATTATATTCCAAATTACAGGAAAGGAGATTCTGCCTGAACATTAGGAAGAACTTCCTGTGGGAGCTGTTCAACAGTAGAACTCTCTGCGTTGGCATGTAGTGGAAGCACTTTCCTTGGGGCTATTAAATAGAGGCTGGATGGCCATCTGTCAGGGGTGCTTTGATTGTGCTTTTCCTGCATGGCAGTGGGTTGAATTAGATGGCTCATGTGGTCCTTTTTTGGGCCCTCCTGTCCTCTTCCAACTCTATTGTCCTATGATTCTATATGAGCCCACAGTGCAATATAATCCAGTTCAAAGCAGTGCTTCTTGTAGGTAAGAGCACGGTCCAGAGTGACTCCCAGGTATTTGGGTGTGTTGCAATGCTCCAGTGGGATTCCTTCCCAGGTGATCCTCAGAGCTCGGGATGCTTGTCTGTTCTTGAGGTGAAAGGCACATGTCTGTGTTTTAGATGGGTTAGGGATCAGCTGGTTTTCCCTGTAATAGGCAGTAAGAGCACCTAGAGCTTCGGAGAGCTTCTGTTCAACCATCTCAAAGCTCCCTGCTTGAGCGGTAATGGCACGATCATCAGCATAGATGAAACTCTCCCTTCTGGCAGTGGCTGGTCATTTGTGTAAATGTTGAACATGGATGGAGTGAGCACGCTCTCCTGAGGCAGGCAGTTCTTCTGTTTCCGCCATTATTATTATTATTATTAACTTTATTTGTACCCCGCTAGCATCTCCCGAAGGACTCGATGCGGCTTCTGCTTCTCTGGCCCTGGGACTCAACAAAGAAGCTCCTGTTTTGTAGCAGGTTTCCTATGAGGAGGGTGAGGTGGTAGTCCTTTGTGATATTATACATTTTTCTTAGGAGGCAGTGGTTTATGGTATCATAAACCATGAAATGGTGCAAGGACGCAGCCCTCTTAAGAGTACCCATTTCCTAGAGGCGGCGGAGCTTAGGAGTAGCCTGGAGGGAAATGTGGAGAGCTTTGTAATTGGCTGGGAGAGAGTTGGCAGAGTTTAGCTTGAGGGCAGAGAAAGTAGGTGCTCAGGAAGTAGGCCAAGGAAGTTCGGCAACTATGTTATGAAATGGTGCAAGGAAGCTCCTGTGATCTGCTGCCTTTCAAAGCCATCTTCTATGTGCTGAGTCAGGTTCAACAGTTGCGATGTGCAGCTTTTGCCTTTCCTGAAGCCAGCTTGCTGTGGGATCAGACATGGGTCTATTTTTTCCATAATTCTATGCAGAATAAGTCTCTCCAGAACTTTGTAGAGGTGGCACAACAGGGAAATTGGTCTGTAGCTTTTTGGGTCATTGCGGACTTTGCCTGGCTTCAAGATGGCGGTGACTCTTGCTTTCCTCCAGATTTTGGGGATCTGACAGGATGCAGTGCAGTTGTTCATCAGCTCCAGCAGCCAGCGCTTGCTTTTGAAAATCCAGATTATCTGCTTTAAATCGGATTATATGAGTCTACACTGCTATATAATGGAAGTGTAAAAGGTGCTTTAAACTGGACTATGAGAGTCTACGCTGCTATGTAATGGCAGTGTAGAAGGGGCCATAGTTTATCCCACATAGCAGCACTATCTCGCCTTTTAAGAACTGGTTTATCTCATTCTATGAACCTTCCCTTCCTTTGGTTTATTTTCTCCCCCCTCTACTTCCTCCTGTTGCCTCCTGTCCTTTACGCCACGCCCCGTTTGGAAAAATCCCGCCCACCTCCTCCTCGGATTGGGCAGCCTGACTCGGCGGCCACGCCCCCTCGGGTGAGCTTGCGATGGCGCGATCGGCCCACTTGGTGACGCAAAGGCTCGCGGCGGCCGGGATTGGCCCGTCGGGGCGGAAGGCGCGTTGCCTGGCGATGTGGCGCGCGGCGGCGGCAGCACGCTTGGCAGCCGCGGCTCTGCAGTCAAATCCTGTCAGAACCCAGAGAGTGGCTTCTTCGTTGGTACTGCTGGGCCTTCGCTCTCCGGGAAGCCGCGGTTGCTGCCTCAAGGGACGTCCGGCTCGGCCTGCAAGCAGAGCGCGGTAAGGAAGGAAGGAAGAAGGGCAGGGGAGGGACCGGGCTGACTCTCTTCAGCTGCCCTCGCTCGAGGCTGTGACAGCTTCACATGACCTTTGGCCTTCTCTGCCCTACAGAGCTGAGGGGCCTCCCTAAACCATGACTCCTCTAGGGAACCACCTCCTGTTTTGCACAGCTGTTGTGAAAAGTATAGGAACTATTTCCAGTTTTACACAAATGTTGGGGAAAGTATAGGAGCCACGTCCTAGTTTACACAACTGTTGTGAAAAGTATAGGAGCCACCGTCTGTTTTACACAGCTGTTGTGAAAAGTATAGCAGCTATTTCCAGTTTTACACAAATGTTGGGGAAAGTATAGAAGCCACTTCCTGGTTTACACAACTGTTGTGAAAAGTATAGGAGCTATTTCCAGTTTTACACAAATGTTGGGGAAAGTATAGGAGCCACGTCCTAGTTTACACAACTGTTGTGAAAAGTATAGGAGCCACCGTCTGTTTTACACAGCTGTTGTGAAAAGTATAGCAGCTATTTCCAGTTTTACACAAATGTTGGGGAAAGTATAGAAGCCACTTCCTGGTTTACACAACTGTTGTGAAAAGTATAGGAGCTATTTCCAGTTTTACACAAATGTTGGGGAAAGTATAGAAGCCACGTCCTGGTTTACACAACTGTTGTGAAAAGTATAGGAGCCACCGTCTGTTTTACACAGCTGTTGTGAAAAATATAGGAACTATATCCAGTTTTACACAGCTGTTGTGAAAAGTATAGGAGCCATCTCGTTTTACACAGCTGTTGTGAAAAGTATAGGAGCCACTGTCTGTTTTACACAGCTGTTGTGAAAAGTATAGGAGCCACTGTCTGTTTTACACAGCTGTTGTGAAAAGTATAGGAACTACATCCAGTTTTACACAGCTGTTGTGAAAAGTATAGGAGCCACTTCCTGGTTTACACAACTGTTGTGAAAAGTACAGGAGCCACTTCCTAGTTTACACAGCTGTTGTGAAAAGTGTAGGAGCTATTTCCAGTTTTACATAAATGTTGGGGAAAGTATAGGACCCACTTCCTGGTTTACACAGCTGTTGTTAAAAGTATAGAAGCTATTTCCAGTTTTGCACAAATGTTGAAGAAAGTATAGGAGCCACTTCGTGATTTACACAGCTGTTGTGAAAAGTATAGGAACTATTTCCAATTTTACATAAACGTTGGGGGAAAGTATAGGAGCTACGTCCTGGTTTACGCAACTGTTGTGAAAAGTATAGGAGCCATATCCAGTTTTACACAGCTATTGTGAAAAGTATAGGAGCCACCTCCCCTTTTGCACAATTGTTGTGAAAAGTATAGGAGCCACCGTCTGTTTTACACAGCTGTTATGAAAAGTATAGGAACCACCTCCTGTTGTCACAGCTGTTTTGAAAAGTATAGGAGCCACCTCCTGTTTCACACAACTGTTTTGAAAAATATAAGAGCCTTGTCCTGTTATGAAAAATATAGGAGCTGCTTCCCGTTTTACACAACTGTTCTGCAAAATATAGGAGCCATCTCTAATTTTAGACAGTTTTGCACAGCTATTGTGAAAAGTATAGGAACCACCTCCAACTTTACACAACTATTGTGAAAAGCATAGGACCCGCCTCAAGTTTTACACAACTGTTGTGAAAAGTATAGGACCCACCTCCAGTTTTATACAACTGTTGTAAAAAGTATAGGACCCACCTCCAATTTTGCTCACCTGTGAAAAGTATTAGAGCCACCTATTTTTGCACAACTATGAAGAGTACAGAAGGTAGGAGCCATCCATTTTTTGTGTGTCTATGTAAAGTTAGGAACCATCTCCAATCCTGCACAGCTGTTGAAAGCATAGGAGGCTTTTCAGGTTTTGCACTACTTTGAAAGGTCTAGGGACCATAACCAGTTTAATATAATTATGAAAAGTATAGCAGCAGTCTTTTTTTTTTTTACACAACTTTTCATACCTCCAGTTTTGCATAAGTGTTTAAGACATCGGAGCCATCTCCAGCAATACAGAGCTATGAAAAGTGTACGCGCCATCTCCAATTTTACCCAACTGAAAATGACAGCAGCCATCCCTTTTTAAAGCAGCTATGTCAGGTTTAGGAGCCACTGCCAGTTTTATAGAATCATGAAAAGTATGAAAATTGTTCCTTCCTTACACAACTATGAAAGTTATAGGAGCTACCATTTTGATGCAACTATTAAAGGTTTTAAAAGTATAGCAGCCACCTCTGTTTTTACACAACTTTGAAAGGTGTAGGAGACATCCCTTTTTACACAATTATGAAAGGTATAGGAGGCATGCAAAGTGTAGTGATACATCACCAGATTTACACAACAGTTATTTAAGTATAGGCGCCATCTCCAGTTTTGCACAACAATTGCTAAAGATAAAGGAGTGGTCCCTCTTTTATACAGTCATTAAAGGTTTATGAGCAATTGCAAGTTTTCAGTCTGGAAACCTGAAATCTGCAAAACAAGGCGTGAAAACAAGACCTGATATTTTACTCTTTTCTTCCTCTCATGTCAGCGTTTCTCAACCTGGAGGTAGAACCACTGGGGTAGTCACAAGGGGGGTGCAAGAGGGGTCACCAAAGACCATCAGAAAACACAGTATTTTCTGTTGGTCGTGTGGGTTCTGTGTGGGAAGTTTGGCCCAATTCCCATTGGTGGGATTCAGAATGCTCTTTGATTGTAGATGAACTATAAATCCCAGCAACTACAACTCCCAAATGTCAAGGCCTATTTTCCCCAAACTCCATCAGTGTTCACATTTGGGTATATTGAGTATTCATGCCAAGTGTGATCCAGATCCATTGTTGTTTGAGTCCACTGTGCTCTCTGGATGTAGGTGAACTACAAGTCCAAAATTCAAGGTCAATGCCCACCAAACCCTTCCAGTATTTTCTGTTGGTCATGGTAGGTCTGTGTGCAAAGTTTGGTTCAATTAAATTGATGGAATTCTGAATGGTATTTCATTGTAGGTTAACTATAAATCCCAGCAACTACAACTCTCAAATGACAAAATCATTCTCCCGCCCACCCAACCCCAGCAGTATTCGAATTTGGGCGTATCAGGTATTTGTGCCAAATTTGGTGCAGTGAATGAAAATATATCCTGCATATCAGATATTTACATTACGATTCATAACAGTAGCAAAATTACAGTTATGAAGTTGCAACAAAAATAATTTAATTGTTGGGGGACACCACAACATGAGGAACTGTTTTAAGGACTCATGACATCAAGAAGATTGAGAACCACTGCTCTAGTATTTCTTATCCCAGATTATACTGCTTCTGTACAGATTGATTCTATCAAAGTTGGGACATCTTTGTTCTTATGGACTGCATTTTGCAGATAGAGGCATTTTTGAAATTGCATTCCAAAGCTTATCTCTTCCAAGCGCTGTGTTCTATTTAGCTATTCAGATTTATAGACGCCTGGAAGTTGGGAAGGATGAACTAATGACACGAGTCACACAGAGTCTCAGTAAAGTGGTGCAGGGAGAAACATGGAATTGTAAGAGCACTGTAGATCCTTTTATGTGGGATTTTTTTTGGGAAAGTTAGAATTTTACAAGCTAAATTAAGTGGAGATAAGACACGCGTGGCAGGTGCAGTGTGGTAATTGGGAGTGAAAGTACTCTGTTGTTGTGGTACCTCCTTTATCTAGGTATCAGAAACTATAAACACGCTTCCACCAGATTTGCTTTCATCGTTGGGAAACTGAGGGTTGTTGCTTCACTTTTTAATGTCGCTGGCATGTTTTGTGCCCAGGCTATTTTGTCATTCAGTTGATTTTCTTAGATATGTTTACTAATGTGACTGATAAAGCATCTTTTAAGCTTTGAAAGCTTATTGCATACTGCGACATTGGGTGGAGGTGGTGATTGTGAGAAGACATAACTATTTCTTTCTGATTAGTATCCTTAGAACGATAAATACTGCAACTATGCCTGAAATAAACACGGATGACTTGGATGAACAGCAGGTACAGCTGCTAGCAGAGATGTGCATCCTTATTGATGAAAATGACAACAGAATTGGTTCAGATACGAAGAAAAACTGCCACCTGAATGAAAATATTGACAAAGGTATTTTTAATTTTTTATTGCAATTGTATATAGGGTGGTTCCGTTCACATAACCTAGTTGGATTGAAAATGTCTACTCACCCTCACCTTGGAGAGTTTAATTTCTTGCCTCCAGGTTTTAATAATGAAGTTGTTTGGCAAAAAGTGATCAGGAAAAGAAAGAAGGAGGAAATTAAAAAGCCCAAGGAATGTGGTTAGACAAACTAATCCTGTATGTTCATAAAGATTAATTTAAATTGAGTCCTTCGGGCAGTAGAAATACACTATTTGTAGAGAGCTGGAGCAACTTGGATTTGCTAAAAAATTTCCAGCCATCAATTTTTTGTCACATTAGGTGGATCAGAAGTTGCCCGTGATGAAACTACTATTCCATTTAGGCTTAGCTTTATGCACTTCAGCCCATTGGCTTCAAAACTTTATTTAAAAGTTACAAAGAATGCATTCCAATGTCAGTAATAGCAGTAATAGTGATCTGTCACTGCTGCCAGGCTTCATGTCAAAATTTAAGGGTCTGATCCCTGATACCATATTATTATTATTATTATTATTATTATTATTATTATTATTATTATTTGAAACACAACAAGATGAGTTCACAGCAGACACTCTGCTGGCTGTTGAATTGGATCACACGTCGGGCACTTCCCAAGTGTCTAGGACTGTGTGATGTTTTGGCGAATAATGCGTGCAGATCCCAGTAAAGTGGCCTTTTGCAACTGGCAGATGGTAATTTTGTCAGTGCCAATTGTGTTTAAGTGCAGGCCAAGGTCTTTAGGCACTGCACCCAGTGTGCTGATCACCACTGGGACCACCTTTACTCGCTTGTGCCAGAGTCTTTGCAGTTTGATCTTTAAATCCTCATATCGTGTCAGCTTTTCCAGTTGTTTCTCTTCAGTCCTGCTGTCACCTGGGATTGCAACATCGACAATCCATACTTTGTTTTTTAACACGATTGTGAGGTCAGGAGTATTGTGCTCTAGAACTCTGTCTATTTATTATTATTATTATTATTATTATTATTATTATTATTATTTCATACTTTTCTACTGCGCCCTTCTCCCCACAAGGGGGCTCAGGGCAGCCTCACATAAGCATCTGATGATGCTAACAACATATACACCATAAAAATTACAATTAAAATAGTAAAATCAATTTAAAACATTATACAAAATTATCAATAAATTCATTTTTTCATATTAGCGTAATATTATTTTCATATTAGCAGAATGTCAGTTTGGGGATATAGGATATACGTGCCTGTCTTCCATTACTCAAGACCAAAAGTCATTGAAATAGTGTTTCTGAACTATGTATTGTGCTGCTTCAAGTGAATGACTGAGAACATGAACATAAGATATTAACATTTTTCATAATTTGTACCAGTGTATTGCCATTGACACATCACTTCTTGACCAGAGCCTATAAAGCTCGTAGAAGTATTTGAAAGGTGATTGTAATACGTTACCCAAGGAACTACACACCCTTTGCTCTTTTTCCAAACCAGATAATCAGCTTACTCTATATCAGGCATCCTCAAACTGTGGCCCTCCAGCTGTTTGGGCCTTCAATTTCCAGAATTCCTGACAACTGAACAAGCTTGTTAGGGCTTCTGGGAGTTGGAGGCCCAAACACCTGGAGGGCTGCAGTTTGAGAATGCCTGCCCTATATACTTGAGTATAAGCTGACTCGAATATAGGCCGAGGCATCTAATTTTACCACAAAAACTGGGAAAACTTACTGACTCGAGTATAAGGCGCGGGTGGGAAATGCAGCAACTCCTGGTACATTTCAAAATAAAAATAGATACCAATAAAATTACATTAATTGAGGCATCAGTAGGTTAAATGTTTTTGAATATTTACATAAAGCTGTAATTTAAGATAAGACTGTCCAACTCTGAATAAATCATTTTTCTAACCTTTTTCAATGTAAATGTGTTTATGTATCTTTCCCATAATAAGAAATGTTTAACTATACATTTTGGGGGACATTCTGTGTGTATATGAATAAGGAAAAGTGGGAAAGACTGGCTTTGGAAGAGCGTGAGAAAGAAGGACTGGAAATGTGAAAAGGTTGGAATGGGAAGGGGTTGTTGAAAAAAGTAGAAAAACGAGGTGGCAAGGGAGTAGCTGGGAAAGGAGGACAGATTGGGGTGGGAAGGGGGCAACTGGGGAAGGGGGAATGATGAGGTGTGAAAGGGGGCTAGAAACTGGGAAAGGTTGGGATGTAAGCGGTAGCCAAAAAAGTGGGAAAGATCCCAGTCTAGTGTGTGTGTGTGTGGGGGGGGGGGGGGGGGGGGGGTTAGGGAAATCTAGGGAAAATTGGGCTGGGGAAAGGATGATTGCAAAATGAGTAAGACTGGGGTGAAAGGGGGAGGCTGGAAAGATTGGAGTGGGGAGGGGGCAAGAGGGAAAGATTGAGGTGGGAAAGGGGACTGGGAAAGCAGGAAAGATGGGTGAGAAAGAGGGGCTGGGAAAGTGGGAAACTACAGTGGGAAAAGGGGCAAGACTGACATGGTAAAGAAAGGCTGGACCCCGGGAAAGGCTGGAATGGAAAGGGAGCTGGAAAAATGGGAGAGAGGGGCTGGGAATAGTAAAGACTGGAGTAGGAAGGGGGAAACTAGAATAAGAGAAGACGGGTGGGAAAGGGGTGCTGGAAGTGGGTAAAAAACTGAGGTGGGAAGGACTAAGGAGAGGAAGATGTGCGGCCTCGCCTCCCTTCTCAACACAGCAAGAGGAGAGGAAGGCGTGTGAGAAGACAGGAAGGTGCACAGCCTCTTCTCTCTCGACACAGCGACGCAGCTGGGTTGCTGTGTGGAGAGGTGAGGGTCCTGGCTGAAAGAAGGGCTTTTTCAGCCTAAAAAAGGGCTGAAAACCTAGGCTTATACTTGAGTATATACATCATTTTTAAAATTATAATTGATGTATTAAGAATGGAAATTGGTTCATAGATTTAAACTCAAGGTATGGTTGTTTCCTGTCTCTCTGTGTGCTAGGATTGCTACATCGTGCATTCAGTGTGTTTCTGTTCAATTCGGAGAACAAGCTGCTTTTGCAACAAAGATCAGATGCCAAAATCACCTTCCCAGGTTTGTTCTTTCTTGTTGTATACCATGTTACCTATATTGTATAGTACTCTGAAATTCTACAATTAATTCCACCAAATCTTTTTTTTTAGATTGTTTTACCAATACTTGTTGTAGTCACCCTCTAAGCACTTCACTTGAATTGGAAGAAAATAATGCGATTGGGATTAGAAGAGCAGCACAGAGGCGTATGAAGGCAGAATTAGGAATTCCAATGGAACAGGTAAATAATACTTTACCTTTTAAATAACTGGCCAAAGTAATAAGCACAAGCATTTAAGCTCCCTTTAGTTTGGTATATCAAAGTCTTAATGAGTTTCATACTGTGCCTGCCCTTCCTGAGTAAAGCAACTCTATAGCCCCCTCCTCCTAAAAAGTGTTCATATGGGTAGGGGGCAACATTTGCTATAATTTATCTCCTGGTCTACTTCCTGGTAGCTTCATGTTGTACTGAATGTAATCACTTAGAGCAGTGCCTCTTATACTACTGAATTTGTGTAACTGATAATTCCCCAAGGTATGAAACCGTTTTTCTGTTCATACCTTTGTAACTGGAGTATGAATTCAGTTAGTAAGCCATGAGACTACAAGAAGTCTATTTAGAAGTGCTAGTTTCAATATATAGCAATCTATATATTAATGCCCATTGGCTACATACAGTTTGCCCATTCTTTCATGGAAACATTGCAGAGACCAAGCGCTGAGGCTTATGGACTGGCATTTTGTATGTTATTAAAGAATATAATTGTATTTTGATGTACTGGAAATAATTTTTATCAAATAGCAATGGCATCATGTACTGTATATTGGTAGCTTTACTAACACAAAAATTCATTGTAGGTGCCGCCAGAAGAACTCCTCTACCTAACCCGAATTCACTACAAAGCCCAATCCAATGGGACCTGGGGAGAACATGAAATAGACTACATCCTCTTTGTGCAGAAAGACGTGACCCTTAACCCAGATCCCAATGAAATCAAAAGCTACTGTTACGTGACACAGGAAGAACTGAGAGAAATGCTGGATAAGGCTTCCCAAAATGAAATCAAGATTACTCCATGGTTCAAACTGATTGCAGAGACTTTTCTCTTTAAATGGTGGGATAACTTGAGTAATCTGAAGAGATTTATTGATCATGATAAGATACACAGGATGTAACTGCTATGATAATGATGGTCTAAAACAATAGAATAACTTTTAATACTGATCAGTGAAATATTTGAAACACTGTAAAAGTTGATTGGGTTGAAATAGGAAAGATGAAGGGAATTTGTTTTTCTGTTTGCGTGCGTTAAGGCAAAAGTCTCCAGCCTCTCACATCTTCAACTTATCAGCTAGATTACTGAGTCGCTGTTTGTTGACATACCTACTAGAGGATGAAGCTTGAATTTTCACTATGTTACCAAGTATGACAAAGAGTTGTCATAGCCAGGATCTCTAAGGTTTGTTTGTACAAGAATGAAGTACAACAATGTTTAGAATAGTTATTCTATTCTAGGTGTCAATTTTTTCATGAAATGTGACAGTTTATAATATTTTGGATAAGGACAGTATAAGATACACACATTAATATGTAAACTTTTCTAATAGATTTTTCTTGAAGTAACTTCACTAGGAATCTTGATGTATGAAGGAAAATGATTTATCATTAAGAAAAAAGGTGCTACTTCAAAATTAGAACTAGTGTCTTACAAAGTGTATTTGTTAAAAATGATATAATGCTAATTTAGAGGAGAAAAATAAAGTGCTCCTAAATGGAATGAAAAATCAGAGCTAGTCGTAGTAATTCCATTCTTCTTCCTCTACGGGTATCAGGCTGGGAAGACTGAATGAGAAGACAAGGTCATGTTTAGCCTTGCGGCTAGTCTCAATGTCTACACTGAGTAACAATTCCCCAAGGCATGAAACCTTTTTTCTGTTCATACCTTTGTAACTGGAGTATGAATTCAGTTAGTAAGCCATGAGACTACTCAAGAGTTCAAGAAGTCTATTTAGAAGTGCTAGTTTCAAAATAAGAACCTGCCTTATCAACAATTGAGGGCCTTCTGGGATTTAGAAACTGTTCTGCCTCAGGTTTACCTAGACATGGCAGTGACCTTCTGCAATGAGAGTGCATGTTATGTTGCTGAACTTGTTTTCTCCTTAAGCTTGAGTATGTCAGACTAGCTTGGGTACCCGGCAGTGCCCGCATTGTTTGAAAAAGGCATTGTTTGTTTTGGGATGTTAGGTAATACCAGTTTGGTAATTAGGAACACTATTTATTAGAAAAAAAAGCCAGTCTTTGATTTTGTTTTTTATTATTATTATTATTTATTATTATTAACTTTATTTGTACCCCGCTAGCATCTCCCGAAGGACTCGATGCGGCTTACACAGGCCGAAGCCTCAGAACACAATACAACAAAACATAACACGACAATAAAACAAAAGCAAATCAAAATAGTTAAGCAGAATAACAACACTAGTAACAATACATCAGACAGTTAAAACTGGGCCGGCCAGAGCAGTGGGTACAGGGTTAAAAGTGCTGAAATGGCAGGAGGAACATAGGATTAAAATAGTGCGGTGTGCAGCAATCTTAATTATACTAAAGTGCTTCTAGGACTTGGGATGGGGAATTCCTAATCTGAGAAGGCACATCGGAACAGCCAAGTTTTTAGATTCTTTCTGAAAACTGCTAAAGTAGGGGCCTGTCGAAGATCTTTTGGAAGGGCGTTCCAAAGTCGGGGGGCCGCCACAGAGAAGGCCCTGTCCCGTGTCCCCACCAAGCGCGCTTGCGACGTGGGTGGGATCACGAGCAGGGCCTCCCCAGATGACCGGAGTGAGCGTGTGGGTTCGTAGATGGAGATGCGGTTGCGCAGGTAGGGTGGTCCCAAACCGTTCAGGGCTTTGTGGGTGAGCACCTGCACCTTAAATTGGCTCGGAAAATAAATGGCAGCCAGTGGAGCTCCTTAAACAGAGGGGTAGACCTCTCTCTATAATGAGCCCCGGTTAGCATCCTAGCTGCTGCCCGCTGGACCAATTGGAGTTTCCGAGCCGTTTTCAAGGGCAGCCCTACGTAGAGCGCATTGCAGTAATCCAATCTAGAGGTGACCAAGGCATGGACCACCCCAGCCAGATCAGCCTTCGCGAGGTACGGTCGCAGCTGGCGCACAAGTCTCAGTTGTGCAAAGGCCCTCCCGGATACCGCCGACACCTGAGCTTCAAGTGTGAGCGATGAATCCAAGAGGACACCCAGGCTGCGGACCTGTGACTTCAGGGGGAGTGTAACCCCGTCCAGCACAGGTAGCCAGCCTATACCCCAATCCAGTTTACGATCGACCAGGAGGACCTCTGTCTTGTCAGGATTGATCTTCAGCTTGTTCCTCCTCATCCAGATCGACACAGCGGCCAGGCACTGTTAATGCTCCCAATAGAAAAGACATAACAATGTGGGTAAACTACAATTCCCAGAATTGTGGGTCAATCCTCCCCAAACCAGGCATGTATGCACAGCTGTCCATGTTGGGTCTGTGTGCCAAGTTTGGTCCAGATCTGACATTGGCTGGGTTCAGTGTTGTCTGGATGCAGGTGAACTACAACTCCTATAAATCAACTGGTCATGGGGGTCCTGTGTGCCAAATGTGATCCAGGCCTGTTGTCGGTGGGAGTCACAGTGCTGTGTCTTGATGCAGGGTGAACTACACCTTCTTTCTTGTCCACCAAACCCCTGTTCAGTTGCTGATCAATTCCTCTGTTTGCTGTGTGCCACAGGAAAATGTTAAGGGAGAGAAAGTGGACAGGATCATGAAAATTCCACAACAATAGAGAGAGAGAGAGAGAGAGAGAGAGAGAGGGGAACCCTGGGATGTGGCTCACTGTAACCTGCAATGTCCTTGGAAGGAGTGCTTTTGGTGGTTCCTCAGCACTGAGAACTGTAGCCTGTTTGTGGAGGCGGGAGGCTGTCTGTGTAAGTGGACACCTCCGCCACATCCACACTTTTCACTTATGTGTCTAGATTAAAATAGTACAGTTATCAAATGTTCAAAACAAAATATATACTTATAATAGAGCTGATGTTAACCAAATTGAACAGCAAATTCAGTCAGAATAGAACCCCTACAAAGCAGACTTGTCAAACCTCAAGCACTCAATAGGGAAGACAAAAATACCTTTGCAGTTTGAAATATATTGTTTTATTTGAATAAGTAAAAAGCAGTGCCATTTCCTTATTCTACCCAGGAGCCATTTATCTTCGTTGTGTTGTGCCAGATTTCCTCTTGCCAGAAAATAGATGTTTAGGTTTAAGGTCAAAGACATGTCTGTCTGCTTCGCCTTTCTTGCCCAACCGATTCATTTTCCTTTGAGCTTTCTTCATCATGGTTTTAGTTTTCTTCACCATCTATGTAAAAGTAAAATATTGTTCAACAGTCCATGCTTATAAGAACCCAAAAAATACTGCATCATTATCTATTAACATCTGCAGACTAAACAGAAGATGAATATTTAAAGTCACAAATGAGAACACATATATACAAAGTATCCTAGTTATTCACACTCTTCTCTAAGCTGGGCTTGAGGCAGCTAAAAATGGAATGAGGCAACAGTCTCAATTACAAAATATAAAGGGATCGCGTCTTTTGAAATAACAGGCACATCTTTGCAACATCTAAACATGTATGTACACGTTAAGCTCTTATTGCTTACTTCAAACCTGTAAATGAATCATAGCCACATATACCTCATTTCCTAATCTTTTCTGCCTGGGATCTGATACAGTACACACACTGACGGTAATGCTTCCGACAGGTGAACAGGAATGTGTGTCTCATTACACCCATAAAGGAGAGTTGGGATACTCTTAGGACCCAGTCTATACCTATTAACAACAACCACTGGTGATCAGTCAGCTAAAGATTACATTTCAGTCACCAAATGCAATCCTGTACTTATTTAGTCACAAAAAAATCTGTTATGTTCAATGGGATTTACCAGTTTACTGTGCAAAAGAAGTGCAAAAATGCATGTGCTCACACTTTTATATCCATGTGCTCCAAAGCTAGTATAAACATGTAGATTTAGAGGGTTAGAAAGATTGTTCAACCCTACATTAGAACAGCTGTTAACACATTAAAAAAATCATTATCACCCTGCAATAACACACCCCAGCTTCTGCTTAGTTGGAACAGCATAAGATGCCTATTTGTAATTCCTAACGAAATCTTACTAGTGTAAATAAACTGGGACAAACCTTTGTATCTCGAAGACCAGATACGTCTCGTGGCGTACGGGAGGAGCTGCGACTTCGTGCTAAAGATGTCGGTGTCACAGATTCTTCTCGTTTACGTTTACGGGTAACACTCCGGGATCTGTTTGACTCAGTTACATAATGTGCCTAAAAATCAAGACAGCCCAATGAGATGTCCCCATCTTCTAATAGACACTCAGCAGCTCAAACACGATTGCCAAGGCAGTTATTATTCTTTATTATTTTACGTATTTGTACCCTGTCCTTCTAACCCCTGAAGGGGGACTCAGAACAGCTTCACAACAGGCATTCAGTCAATGCCAAACAACGATTACATAATTAAAAAACATTAAAACAAATCAATTAAAACATCAATTATAGGAACAATTATTTAAAATCAAGTGAGTTATTCTGACTTTTGACAGAAAAACCAAGAGCTTATAATGACAAACTCTACCGTCCCTTAACCAGGATTTCAAATAAATGTAAGATGAGCCATGCTAGATGAGAAAGGCAGATTATTATCTAGCTTCTTGTTTCACAGTTGTCATTCAGAGATGGAAAGCAATAGCTCTAAACTCTGGCCTCGGTAGCTTGTATTCAGGGGCATGGCAATTCTGATCCAGGGGTTAGCAGACAGAAATTACGAAGTCATAGACTCACTCTCCCATCAATTGATATATTTCCCTTGTAAAGCTATCTTCTGTTTGAAATAACCCCACATTTTAGTGTTGCAGGAAGCAGGAAAAAATCTCCCTAATCTCAATGTAATAAATAATGCTACGCATCTTTATTATAGCTACCCTTATTTATTTTTTCCTAATTAAATAGCTTGCTTTTTATCCAAGTATTAATCTAAAATGGCTCTATTTCCAACTGCAGAAAACGGAAGCAGGACAATAAAAATGAGAAATAGTAAAAGCATTGCTTAGAGAAATCAAAACCCGAAAAGCAATAAGAAGAAGAATTGGAACTTACATCATTTTTGCCAGTCATGTCTAGCCCAAGACCAGTCATCTCTTTCTCCAATGCCTTACGCTGAACCTGAAGCCACAAAGAATTAGTTGTATTTCTAATAATGAACTAGATTTGTTCTTTTAAAAATGGCCCTGAAAGAAGTTAGGAAGCAACACAATAAGAAAACCCCACATCAACAATTATGTCTTTCTCCACCCCTGACCACTGCCCTTTTCCATCCTGTGATTTTGCATAGGCAAACTGCAGGAAACCTATACTGAGTGGAAATCATCTCCTTCCAGATGTTTTTATGCAATTTCCAGCATTCCTCACCATTTACTATGTTGAATGGGGCTGCTGGGAGTTGCAATCATACAGACATGACAAGGCCATAATTGTCAGAAATATTGAAAATTAACTGGCATATTTTTAATGACAAAAGTGTGAGTCAAGCACTGAAAGAGTCAGTAGGCCAAAGCTAGTGTCGTTCTGAGCATAGCGAGTAGGCCGAAGCCTGTTAGTTAGTGGGCCAAAGCTAGTGTCGTTCTGAGGAGTATGAGGTAAACCTCCATGGGAGAAAGGTCTCAGTCTGTGAGGTAGGCCTCACAGTGTGAGGTTGGCCTTTATTAGCAGTCCAAGTGTTAGAAGGTCTGGTGTAAGAAGCTTCAGTGAGAGAAGCTCCAGGTTGAAGACCTCGTGTGTAAAGCTCCAGTATAAAGGCTGCTATGTGTGAAGGCTACTGTATGAGGCTCCTATGAAATTTTGGTGTGAGAGGAGACTCTGTGAGAGCGAAGCTGTTTATCTACATGAGGAAGAAGCCCAGTATGGAAGTATAAAGGACTTTATTTCTGTTGTGGAAACCTTGTTGTTGTAAATAGTGCAACCATATTATTTTACTACAAAGAAAAGTCTCCTATGAAAGAGATAACATTGGTCTGTGTGGTTTTGTTCTTTTTATCACTTTGGGCTACTGGTGCTGAGTCACACTGCTGCTAATAAGTTACTCTGCTATACATTTATGTAGAAAGTCTTTTGTTAATAAGCCCACTTGCCCAACAATAATTCCCATTCCAACTGATATGTTTGAAAACATTTAAAAATCTTCCTAGGAGGCACTCATTCTTTTCATTCTGACTCACTAGCAGGCCTATTATTGCCCCAGGGCATAATTTTTCTCCTCTTTGGTTTATCTGACATTCCTCACCATGGCAACATGAATAACTAAATATGTAAACCCGAGCAGTACTTAATCCCTCAACCACAGTCATGTCTCAACAGAGTAGTTATACTTGCCTTTCTAGCTGTTCTAGGCATCTTGGGACCTTGTTTATCTTTCTCTTTGGACTCCAGGATTTTCAGTTTCTTTTTCTCTCGAATCTGTTGGGCCAGTTCTCTAATTTCCATCATTTCCTCATCTTCACTTTCTGAATCGCTGTCATATTCTCCAGCCGCCTGCCTTAGCTCCTCTTCCTTCTCCAGCTCTTCCAGTTTCTTTAAAGAGTTAAAACATAATGCATTAGAAACTTTTTTAAAGACAATGTGCATTCTTGAGTGTTTCTTCACCACAGATACTTTCACTATAGCCTTTGAGCGAGTTCATTCTCATCACACTGATCCCCTATTATAGTTCTCACATCCTGAGCCAAAAAGAGGCATAAGCAGAATCCTTGATAATGAAGAAAAGAACAGCAATAGTTTCAACTGACTGGCTTTCTGCTTTCCTTGGTAATAAATGGTGTTGTAAGTACTCATGGCCTCAAGAGAGAACAAGTAAGAAATGCATAGACTGAAAACTTATAAATGGTAAACCTAATGACATGCAACAAAGCATAAAAGCATACAATAACGCTTACCTTCATGATATCTGGATCAATATAGTCAGCAATGTTATGACCTTGCCATACTTCAGGTATTAGATCATATTTTTCAGATGGATTCATTAGATCCCAGTATTCTAGAAGAAAAAAAGCACCAAAAGGCAAAGATACTGATCAAAAGATCTTCCAGTTTTCAAATGTATCAACCAGAATATGAGAGAAACTATTTACACACTACAATAAGTAAACTGCACACACTTCCAAGTGGTCATCCATTTGCTGTATCTGATTTAGGTCGGTAGCCATCCCTGAACCACAGGATGCATTAAGATACTACAAAATTAAGTTTTATTATGACTCAATACTCCCCATTTAAAGAGAGTAAGACCCTTTCTACACTGCCTTATAATCCAGATCCACATTATCTGCTTTGAACTGGATTATATGGGTCTCTACACCGTCATATAATCCAGTTCAAAGCAGATAATATGGATTTTATGTGGCAGTATAGGGGGGCCTAAGGAAACAGATGTTATACATAGCAACAAAGTTCATAGGATGCTTTTCATGTTTCAACACAGATGCCTACCTGCAATTAGGAAACAGTTCCCAATCAAAATTTAGAAGGAAATACTAACATAGCTCAATAGAAGAACAGCAAAGACTACAGATACAGTCTGAGATGCAGATTTTTTTTCCTCCTGCTGCCAGAAAAACAAAGCAAACACTGCAATCCTATCCATGTCTACTTGGATATAATGACGATGATGATGATAACTGCAAAGACTCTGGCACAATCTAGTAAAGATGGTCAACACACTGGGTGCAGGCCTAAAAACCTTGGCCTGCACTTAAAAACAATCGACACTGACAAAAGTACCATCTGCCAGCTGCAAAAGGCCACCCTACTCAGATCTGCATGCATTATTCATCGATACATCACACAGTCCTAGTCTCTTGGGAAATGTCTGATGTGTGATCGAATACAAAAGCTAGCATAGTGATCTTGTTTGCTGTGTACTATTCTTGTTGTTTATCAAATAAGAATAATAATGACGACGATTATGATTTTTAACACCCCCCCCCCCCTTCCCAAAGGGAAGACATTTTCCCAGGTCAGTGTGCATGATTTACAGCCTAAATCTAGTTAAACTTCTAAATGTTAAGATTACTGTTGCCACTTACTCTTAAGATCCAAAATATAGTCCTCGCCCATTTCCATTTCAATATCTTTTTCCTGCAAAGTAATACACATCATTAGTAAAGGCCTTCCTTATATATTGTTCACAAGAAGTTTCCTATTGTTCCCCCAAGAGATATATTTACCAGTTTCTTTTTAGGCACATCGATTTCCATACGTTTTTTGCGCAGCAAGGCCCCCTCTGGTATACAAGGAGGTCTTTCCTAAAATTTAAAAATGAGATCAGATTATGCTCAAGAAACCACGTTTTGCTTTTTTTTTTTTTTACCACAAAACAAGCAATAGCCAGGCAACATAGTATTTCTCATGATATTAAAATTGCATACACATACTTAAAAAAAGAGAGGTTATAATGGTCAGCAATCATAAACCAACCTTGGTGTCTCTTTTGGTTGGAACAGCTAAATGAAGCCTGTTCAGTATATCGTTCACCTTGTTTCCTTTCATTTTGGTATCAACACGATGGGCCAGCAATCTGTCACAAGCCTGGAAAAGACACATAATGTTAATTAGTGTGGCATGGAAATTGGAACTTAAACTATGAGATTGTGAAACGCTGACCAGCAATGAGGTTTGTATTGCTTTTATTGTTTTTACCTGGTTTTACTGGTTTTATGGTTGTTTTTGCTGATAATAATTCTGTTCTGTTAATTGCTGTTTATTGCTATAATTACTGTCGTTAACTGATGTTGTTGTTCTTTGCTGTATGTAATGCAGGCATCGAATTGTGCCTCGCTTGTGTAAGCCGCCCTGAGTCCCCCCCGGGGTGAGAAGGGCAGGGTAGAAGCAACCGAAATAAATAAATAAATAAATTTAAAACATGCTGATAAAACACATGAAGAAAGGCCCTGCACATTTATTTGCAGGAGGAAATAATCAAGGAAGTCACAGCTCTCAAACCAGTAATCACATTCACAGTTTGGATAAAGTACAGGCAGTTAAAGTAGGACCAAACTGTTAATTCTACAGTACAGATGCCCTATCTCAGGCTTGGATTTCCACTCCTCAAAACTGGAGAACTGGCATCCTCATCTCCCATCTGGTATTATTTTGTTGTATGGCCAACATGGGTACATTTAAATATGTTTCCTGGATTTCAAAATACCAAATTAAGCCACAAGGGGAGCCATGTTGTATTAGTAACTGGTGCTTCAATCCTTGGTGTTTCAATCTTTGTTCAATGTATTTGTATGTATTTTAATGGTATCATGTTTTATCTGTGTGTTTTAACAATATTGTACCCCACCTCAAGGATTGGGGAGAGGCAGGTCACAAAAAAAGCATTACAGGCAAGCCCAAGTTACAAACAAGATAGGTTCTGAAGGTTTGTTCCAAGTCAAATTTGTATATAAGTTGGAACAGGTACATTTTTTAAGTGTTACTCCAGCCCCCCCCCCCCCCCCCCCCAATATATGTGTGTGTGTGTGTTCAGTGAAGAAGTAGCCATCCAAACACAGTAAATATGTCATTCAGTCTAGTTTGTAGATCTGAGGCAAGTACATCCAGGAAAACTGTTGTACTAAATTTACTGAAGTCTCCCTATTTTTCTTTTAAGAAAAAAAATTTTAAACTTCAACAACAATATAAAATTACGGCTATTCACAGCTAGGAATTTTCCAGGTCAAACGCAGTTCAAGTGGAAATAAGGTTGGTCCTCCAGAAGTGACTAATACTGGATTCGTGTGCAAACAGTGCAGTTATTAAAATCCTTAATAGCAACTACCCCTGAAGGACACATCCAAAGAGGTGCCTTGCAGCTTGTTGCATGGCAGGTGTGAAAACCTATATTAGTTTGTCATCATCTCCTCATGTGGGCTGATTAACAGCCACATGACTCTGGCAAGTTAAAACCTGCCACAAAGGAGCAGGTAGGGAAGAATAGAATACGAGACTAACAATGGGACAATTGTCAGAGACTGGCTAGTAAAAAACAAAACAAAACATGTAGGTCAGAAACTTGTGTTACTTTTTCCTAATGCCTAGCAGCAGGGGTTTATTAGAATTATATGGAACTATCAGCAGAGGTTCACATTAATGTATTCAGCTTGTACCTCACTTTCCTACCAAAACATGGTATTTGACTTACAGTAAAGTCTCACTTATCCAACATAAATGGGCCGGCAGAACACTGGATAAGCGAAAATATTGAAGAATAAGGAGGGATTAAGGAAAAGCCTATCAAACGTTATGATTTTACAAGTTAAGCAATGAAACATCATGTTTTACAACAAATCGATAGAAAAAGCAGTTCAATACATGCCAACATTATGTAGTAATTACTGTATTTACGAATTTAGCACCAAAACATCACAATATATTGAAACACCAGTGGATCTGGACAGGAGGCAGACTGCGTTGGATAATACAGAATGTTGATGAGCGAAGGTTGGATAAGCGAGACTCTACTGTACTTTATGTTGTCTTTTTAGAGATTAGATGTGGCATTTCTCAACTAAGAATGGGAGTCTTCACGTGTATTATACATCTGCCCAAGACTGAGAGTTGCATATCATGTCCAAAACATTTCTCTCTTCATTAAGTTCATACAAAATGAACACTTACTTCTGTTTTGACTTGAATAACTCCTTCTTCTGTGAGGGTGCTTGTCTCAATTACAGGGAATCCATCTGCTTCTAAATCAGCTAACATTTTCTAAAACATAATAGACAAACAAAAACAAATTAAATCGTTAAATACAACAATTCCTACAAAAAAATAAATGATTTTCATAGAATGGAAATGACAAAGATTCCATCAAAATGGTTGGGAACTAACATGAAATAAACAATAAGGACCACTACAAAAGCTCCATGTGTGTTCTGTTGTGTATCAGTGTTTGCATATTTATTTTTTAAAAAGTTGGAGTATTTCTATATTACGGGAAAAAGTTGAATTTCAGTGCATTCAGCCCAAAATAGACTGCTTACTATTCTACAATTTGCTCAAAACATGAAACACGCATGCCATAGACTGATAGTGTAACTGCTTAAAGAAGTGGATTTTCAGCAGGACCAAATATGAGAAATGAGAGAAGTTACAAATAAAGATAAAACTTCTAGTAGTGTGTGGAAGTTGACCTAAGCTCATGCTTAGATTGCAGCTGGGGATGGATCTATTCTGCAATGTCAGTATTACATACAAAATAGAAACAGTTTACAACACATCAAAACAGAAATAGTTTATCTCTTGTTTTAATGTTGTTATACTCCGCCTCACGCTGCAGGGAGAGGCAGGTAACTTATGATGATGATTATGATGATTATCATGTGTAAACGTCCTACCTGCTTGTCCTCAGGAAGTTCGGAAATCCTCTTCACATCACATTTATTTGCCACAATTATAAGAGGCTACAGATTGAGAGAAAGAAAACAAATACACAACTAAGCCTCCAAATGAGATTTTATATCAAATTAAAATTACTCTGCTGAAATAATAAAATCCTCACTCACTTTATTGGCAAACAGTGGCTTAATGTTCCCAAAGAGTTCAAGTTGCTCCTCCAAACTGTGCCCACACTGTTCAGATATATCCATGACAAACAGAACAGCAGCACGAAGATGGGCAAGGGCTGTTATTGCCTGCATCTCAATTGTGTTTCTTTCTTCCAAAGGATGATCCAAAATGCCAGGGGTATCTACTACCTGCAATGAAGGCAGGAAGAATGAAGGTCTTTTAAGCTCACATACATTGCTAAGTTATGAATCAGATATACAGCGTTCCCTGCAAATCTGCAACAACAAAGAAGGGGCCTCTTTTAACCCATACTTAGAAACAGGACTGCTTAAAATTAATTTATACAGCATTAATCATGTCCAGAGTACAACAAAAGGCTGGTTTCTTACTCCGACAACCAGATACAATAGTATTGATGGTTCCTGTCCTGAATTTAATGGAACTTACTTCCTAATAAATGTGAAAAGCACAAGACTACCAATACCCGGCATATACTTTGTTAGAGAAATTGAAGCAAGCAAACCGATCTCTAGATCTCTTCAGAATGTAACAAATGACTCCAAGGCACTGGAAAGACAAAGTGGGAAGGCACTATTGTTTCAGTGAAAAGATGTAATGCCTCTGTAAAGCCAATGGTACAAAAAGGATGCATGAAACTATAGAGAAAAACTATAAAGGCTATGAAGTTATACTAACTGTGAAAAGGTAAAGGTTTCCCCTGACATTAAGTCTAGTCGTGTCTGACTCTGGGGGGTGGTGATCATCTCAATGTATAAGCCGAAGAGCCGGCGTTGTCCATAAACGACTCCTAGGTCATGTGGCTGGCATGACTGCATGGAGCGCAGTTACCTTCCCGCAGAAATGGTACCTAAATGATATATTCACATTGGCATATTTTCTAATTGCTAGGTTGACAGAAGCTGGGGCTAACAGTGGGAGCTCATCCCACTCCTCAGATTCGAACCACAAACCTTTTGGTCAGCAAGTTTAACCCACTGCGCTACCAGGGGGTCCTAGTAACTGTGTATCTATCAAAATGGATTGCTTGGAGAATTAACTCCTAGGTCCAAAAGCTCCAAACAGTCAAATGTTTCCTATACTGTTGTTCAATGTTTAATTATTTCTTCACAACCCTCAAGCCTGGAAACCTTATAACCACGCATATTTCTAGACTCCGCTTGCTGCTATTTGTACAGCTAATTTAAAGGAGTAATAGATCATTCAAGTAGTGGTCAACTGAGAGTAGTGGCCGGTTGATTCTGAGAAGCATCAATTGATTAGATTTTCCATCAAAAGTGTTAGGTCTGACCAGCCAAAATGGAAAAGAGTCATGCTTGTATGAAAGTTTCACTGCACTAGGGATCCTAACTGGCCACTAGGATTTAGCAACTACAACCTGGGAAATTGCCTTTTAGGATAACAATTTCCAGAATCTCTTTTGGTTGAGAAGTGCTGGCCATGCTAGCTAGGGAAATAGTTACAAGTAGCAGTCCAAGGAAGTACATTTTCCAAGATCTGGTTGAAAATGGGGGTGTGATCAATATTATAACTGCATAATTATGTGCAATTTGACTTTGGAATGGCCTTAGACCTTGAACTCTGGATGGCGTGTTTTTAACTTTGAATGTATTTTAACCATTTTAAATATGCTGTAATTTTAACCTGTTTTAGGTGAGATTGTTGTTTTGAGGCAATGCGCCATTGTAAGCCACCTTGAGTCCCCCTGCTAAGGTAGAGGAAGGCAGGGTATAAATATGACAAATAAAAAATAATAATAATATTTGCACAAATGAGGCACACGGTGCTCCAGAGCTAATTGTACTACGCAGCACATAGCACATCAAAACCCAAGGTGCAAAGTCCATATTACAAAATGCAATCCTTTGTTCTTTGTGAAAAAAAAAGATTCTTCTGAATTAATTGCTTCAATGAAAGATCTTACCTGCCAACGCAAATATTTGTAATCCATGTGTCCCACAAAAAGAGATTTTGTGGTAAAGGCATACGGTTGCACTTCTACATCTGCTCTTGTCACCTTAAAAACAAAAACCTCTTGGTTACAGTGTCTCTCTATTTAGAAAATAGCTTTTTCAGAAGACATATTACAACTTTAGTAACAAGTGTTTCAAAACCAGTGTGGTTTAAACACACTCCTTTTATGGGACAACGGGTAGAAAAAAAACAAGGAAAATCCCTACTTTTTGTTTTGTTTTTCTTACAAAGATCATAACATAAAAGAGAAACTAGATATATATCTTAGCATCCCTTTAGCAGCTGAAGCATTTAAAGTATCAATTCTCACATTAAAACTACAAACTAAATATGTTATGATAACATATTTATGATAAATATGTTATCATAAACATATTTAGGAAGACAAAATTGCCACTAAAGTCAGTGGGATTCACCTATTTTACAAATGTCTAGGGTTGCACCGTAATTTAATCTGTCTCTGAAGCAATAAATAATTCCACATACCTTATTTATAAAGCTGGATTTTCCAACATTTGGGTATCCACACAAGAGAAGAGTCCTTGTGTTAGGGTCAATGGTTGGCAATCGGGATAGATGTTGACGCACTGGGAGAAAACATTTTTAGAGAACATTTAGAGAAGGAAACACACAGAGCTACAACACATTTTTTGCATAGTATTGGTCATTTAGCAATCATAATAATAATGCAGCGAATGTTGTAACAATGATCCATAGCAATCTATGTAGACATAATAATAATAATAATAATAATAATAATAATAACAACAACAACAACAATAAACCTCGCTAACATCTCCCGAAGGACTCGGTGTGGCTTACAAGAGGCCAAGGCCCAACACATCAATTAAACAACAGCATAGCAAATACAACAATAAAACTCAAAAAACAAGCAATAAACATGTCCTTAGTCAAAAGTATATTCTTTTTCATTGGTTGCCTGATTTACGTTTCAACATTTTCTCATTTAAACGAACTGTATGCATTATGATTGCAATGTTTCAACATTTTACACTGTAATTTACTGCTGATTTTTTCAAGGAGTGGAAGTATCCTACATGGGATTAAGAGTTTTGAAACTCCTTACTTCTATCCTTTTATAATCTAGCTTCCAACTTTGTTTATTTAAGAACAAAATCTGGAGAAATCTTGGAACACTGTGGAAACAATTCTCGACAATCTGCAGAAAATTTGGATATTGTGGAAATTTCTCTCACAGTGGTGCAATTCCCTTCAAACAAATGTTCCTATTACTATTACAATACTTCTAATATATCATCTATATTTGAATATAAGACAACCCAAATATAAGTCGAGGGTGGGAAATGCAGCACCTACTGGTAAATTTCAAATAAAAATAGATATCAATAAAATTACATTGATTGAGGCATCAGTCGGTTAAATGTTTTTGAATATTTACATAAAACTGTAATTTAAGATAAGACGGCCCAACTCTGATTAAACCATTATTCCAGTGGTTCTCAACCTGTGGGTCCTCAGGTGTTTCGGCCTACAAACCCCCGAAATCCCAGCCAGTTTACCAGCTGCTAGGATTTCTGGGAGTTGAAGACTAAAACATTTGGGGACGCACAGGTTGAGAACCACTGCATTATTCTAACCTTCAATGTAAATGTGCTTACCTATCCTTCCAATAATAATAGAGTAAAATAATAAATGTAATAAAAATAATAATAGAGTATAATAATGGAAATGTCATAATAACAGAAATAATAGAGTAAAATAATAAATGTAATAATAACAATAAAGAGAATAAAATAATAAATGTAATAATAATAAAGTAAAATAATGTAAATGTAACAACAACAACAACAGGGTAAAATAAAAAATAACTTTGACTCAAGTATAAGCCGAGGAAGGCTTTTTCAGCCTGAAAAAAAGAGCTGAAAAACTCAGCTTATATCAAGTATATATGATAAGCACTCTACCATTGGAAAAAGACAAACCACATTTCTTCTAAAGTTAATTTAAAAATGTCAGTGTGATGCAGTTGTTAGTATCAAAGCAAATAACTTTCTCTCAGCCTAATGTTGTGAAAATGAAATGGAGGAAGGCCTCATATATCAGTCCAAATTTCTTGAATAATAATAGTAACAACAGCAACTCTCCTGCTGCTACATATGATATACTCCACCTTGTTCTAAGTATTCCAGACTCTGTTTCTGTCTTTTGATTATCGTACACATGCGTCCCAATGCTGCGCGCTTCAACTGTTTGCATCGGTAAAGAGAATCCCCGTATTTCATAAGCCGCACATAATCTTTGGCAACACTGCATTACAAAAACAGAGGTCAAACTTGTATCAGTATTAAAAAAAACATGCAGCTTGTTACTTTTTCCCATCCACAAATATATGAGCTCAGGGATGAGGTTTCAGCAGGGGGAGAGAAAGGGATACGTTCTGAAGGAAATGCAGATGTTCTGTGAATCAATTCCTTTAGAATTCCTAGCAGAATGTGTACACAAAACCTTATACCATTTTTAGCATAGTGTACATGAATATTAGTTTAATTGTGCTGGGCCCAAGAGTACGATAGTACAAATGGGCACCATGGCCTTGACATCTGGTGTTATGTAATGGTAAGATACTCCTCACCAACCAAACCAGTAAAAGAGAGTGGTGGATGTGCTTGTGGGCTGAATAATCACACTCGGGCACCACCAACACCATCTCTGGAAAAAACGCAACCTTTTCTGTAATTTCTAAGTTAACACAGAGTATCAACAGGATTACAAACAAGGATGTTATCTATAAATGGACGAAGCAGCATTTTTTTCATATGAACAAAAACTGCAGTCTTACTTGTCAATCAGATTTTTAGCAATATTAATCTGCCCCAAAGCCAGCTTATAATGATCTTTGTCATAAAGAACGTTCATCAAATCAGCATAAAATGGATGGATGTCCTGGGGGAGAAAACAAATATATATTTAGCATTTTATCCAGATAAATAAAATATAAGATATTTGTAAAATAATCTTGGGTATAAATCCTCCCCCGCAAAAGTCTTAGGAATTTGACCATTACTGGGTAATATGGTCAGGAATGAAAAGAGTTGTAAAACGAGTTCCACTGAGTCACAGGAAGAAATCAGAGTTGTTTCTTTTCCAATTCCATGCCAACTGTTTTAAAGTAGGCGAAAATTCAAAGAGCACATTATAATATGGCATGAGAATCAGCTCTTCAGTGAATGATAGTTAAATATATTCACTAGGTTAACATAATGCTCCTGTTAGAGCTAAAGCAGCGATCTCATTCCCAGCCATGATTATGGCAACTATTTGGTAGCACCCAGCAAAATTGGTAAATACTTTCCATAGTAATAAAGTACAAGAAATAGAAGCACTTCTCTCTAACTTTTGAGTCTTTTTTCTCACTGTAATACTGTTATTGAGCAAACGCCATAATCAGTAAGAGTGATTAAGATCCATGGTCTGTACACCTCTCCCTCCTTACACAGACTTTTCTCCTGCTGTCCTTGCACCTGTTGACCATGGCATACTGACATCTTGTGCCATTTTATTAATAGGAACTTGATCATCTGCTTTTTTGGGAATCTGTGCAGGATCCTGGAACCAAACTACCACGGACACCAAGGGCTTGCTATATATTTTAGCACAAAACCCCCAAGTTATTCAGAGTATACAAGCCTGCACTTAAATAACACTTTGTGGTACACTGCCAACCATCAAACTCACTTACATCTAGCTTTGGGAAATCCATGATGATCTGGGTGAGTCTGTCATGGTAATTTTGTTGGGTGTATTTTACTTTCCTCATGTAGAAATGACGAATACGGTGAATTTGGTAATGTTTATGAATGACCGTAGGCGTTTTTCGTTGTGTCTTGGACAACGTCAGGTCTATGAAGTCCTGCAATCGAAGAACAAACAGTAATCAACAGTTAAGAATAAACAGTCTTTTCAGATAAGGGATGCTCAACTTATAATGGGTTGTGCAGTCTCTCTAAGTCAATCTGACTACTTTCTGTGCAGGCTTTGAAAAAACTCTTGTGCCACCAATGGTAAGGAAGGCGTGACAGTGGTGCTGAAATCACAATAAAACCTGAGCAATTAATTAGGGAGATTATAAACATTTAAAAACCCATTTTCCTTTATCCATTGCAGATGGAAACCACTTTCCCCCATGTTCTCACTTCTAACTTAAATTAAAGATAAAATGGCTGAGATGTAAGAATAATCATCATCATCTTTATTTTTATACTGCCCTATCTCCCCCGCGGGACTCAGGGCGGTTTACACATACAGAGGAAAACATTCAATGCCTGACATATACCAAAAGATTACAGCAATAGAACATAATACAAAATAAAAACAGCATTATATAAATAAAATAAAATATAAAAATAGACAGAGAGCAGCTAATCAATAAACAAATGCATTTAAAAAGCATAGTCATCAGTAAGACATCTAACATAGTTAGCACTTTTAAAATTGATTTAAAGGTATTAAAATGTAGACTGACAACTCCATGGAAATCCTTTTGAATAGGAATTATATTCTGCATTATACATTTAAGAAGCGGTGCTATACTACAGGACTTCTTAAACTTTTACACTCATGACCCCTTTCTGCCTGATTTTTTTTTTTTTGTGACCCCAGGTATACAGCTCGGTACTGTTCTATTATCCAGACAGAAGGCACTAGATAGAGAAGGATAACCCATTTTACGGGTGGGGGACAGGGCTATCCCTGAAAATAAAGCAGCATTCTTGCTAAACAGTCTGAATTTCCTTTTTTTGTGGATACAGTTGAAGCATTTTCTGCAGAGTCAATAGTCAGCACTGCAAATTGGTGCTAACAGATTTTGTCAATGGGTGTTCAGAAATATTTTACTGTTGCCATTTTTTGTGACTCCAAGGTTGAGCTGTGGGAACCCCACTTGGGGTCAGGACTCAGTTTAAGAAGCCAAGTTATAGTGGACAAGTAGAGTCTGCCTCCTGCAGGAGACATTCAGAACTGATTGTTGGGGAGGGGGGGAGACCTCAGTAAATCACATTAGTTATATGGACTCCATACTTCACTATTACCTTCTCATTGGTGGAACAGTGTCCTACCACTGCCAATGTTGCTCATTCCCATCCCTGCTTGGCATAGCACTCCATGTATACTATTAGTCCTGAGACCCTGGTTAAAATACTAATTGCAGGTAGAATCATGGAGTTGGAAGAGAACTCAAGGGCCATCCAGTCCAACCCCCTTCCATACAGGAAAAGCACAACCAAAGCACTTTAGTCATCTCTGCTCAAGACTGCTATTGCCTTCCTAAACTACAATTCTTGGGATTCCAAAATCTTGAGCCATATCACTTAAAGTGGACCCAAGCTGCATTATTTCTGCTCTGGAGACTAGGAAACAGAGTAATTTATTCAAATTGTGAAGGGGGTGGGGTTCTGATTCCACCTAAACATTAGGAAAAACTTCCCGAAGGTAAGTGCTGTTCAACAGTGGAATATGCTGCCTAAGAATGTGATAAAGTGCCCTTCTCTGAAGGCATATAAAGAGGCTGGTCACCTGTTGGGAGTGCATTGTGTTTTCCTGAATGGCAGAATACGATTGAACTGTGGCTCTCTTCTAATTCTATGGTTCTATAACATGCCACATACATCATTAGTCTGAAGACTAACGCCTTGAAAAACTGGTCTTGCCTTCTACACATATTGGACAAACATCAGTTTGCATAGAGCCAAGAGAGGACACCATAATACCCTCCCTAAAGATATTAGATCAGCCACCACTCTCCAAGCCTTTTGGACCAGTTTAAAAAATGACTCTTTAGACAGGCCTTTGACCTTGTGTAATTTTATGGTCAGATTGAGAACCAGTGACTGTTTTACCCCGGCACTTTGGTTTGTTGCTTCTGGACTGGCAGTTATAGTCATAGGTTCTACTGTGTTTTATGAATTTTAAATTTTATCAGATGGGGTTTATGTATGTTCATTGTTTTTAGATTTATATTGATTTATATGCTTGTGTATTGTTGTCTTGAGTGCAGCACTTCGTAGTGCCTCTGTGAACTGCCCCGAGTCCCTTCAGGGAGATGGTGGCGGGCTACAAATAAACTTATTATTATTAGTAATCACGTTCCACACTGCCCAGGCCCACCTGGAATGATGGGGGGGACGATGCTATGCGAGTCCTTCTGGCAGGATGGGGCGGGATACAAATGAAGTCGTTGTTGTTGTGCTTTTTGCAGACTTCAGTTCCACATTCAACACCATCCTCCCACACTAAACTTGAGGCTCAAGGAGGCTTACAACACTAAAACAGTATATTTTAATAGTACTACTACTTATTATTATAAAATATTGTGGGTGTGTATCAGCTTCAGCTTAGGCGATCCCTCGTTTTCCGAGGAGGATTGTCTTCCAATATTCTTGTGGGTCCGTATGTGGCTGTGGAGCCCTATTCTTGCTCTGCATCTTCTTCCGCAGTAAAGGCATTGGTTTCCAGGTGGAAGGCGGTCTCGGTCGGGGTTGGCTTGACGCGCCTTCCTCTTGGCACGCTTCTCCCTTTCGCCCTCCATTCGTGCCTCCTCAAATTCTGCAGCATTGCTGGTCACAGCTGACCTCCAGCTGGAGTGCTCAAGGGCCAGGGCTTCCCAGTTCTCAGTGTCTATGCCAGTTTTTAAGGTTGGCTTTGAGCCCATCTTTAAATCTCTTTTCCTGTCCACCAACATTCCATTTTCCGTTCTTGAGTTCGGAGTAGAGCAACTGCTTTGGGAGATGGTGGTCAGGCATCCGGACAACGTGGCTGGTCCAGCAGAGTTGATGGCAGAGGACCATCGCTTCAATGCTGGTGGTCTTTGCTTCTTCCAGCACGCTGACATTTGCCTGTCTTCCCAAGAGATTTGCAGGATTTTCCGGAGGCAGCACTGATGGAATCGTTCCAGGAGTTGCATGTGACGTCTGTAGACAGTCCACGTTTCGCAGGCATATAGCAGGGTTGGGAGGACAATAGCTTTGTAGACAAGCACCTTGGTATCCCTATGGATGTCTCGGTTCTCAAACACTCTCTGCTTCATTTTGGAAAATGCTGCACTCGCACTTATGGATCTTTGACTGTCATATGCAAACTGTTTCTGGATTATGGACTTCTTGTCTGGACATTCCCAGAGGATTAGATTGTTGTTCATTCGTTCAGTCGTCTCCGACTCTTTGTGACCTCATGGACCAGCCCACGCCAGAGCTCCCTGTCGGCCGTCACCACCCCCAGCTCCTTCAAGGCCAGTCCAGTCACTTCAAGGATGCCATCCATCCATCTTGCCCTTGGTCGGCCCCTCTTCCTTTTGCCTTCCACTTTCCCCAGCATAATTGTCTTCTCTAGGCTTTGCTGTCTCCTCATGATGTGGCCAAAGTACTTCAACTTTGCCTCTAGTATCCTTCCCTCCAATGAGCAGTCGGGCTTTATTTCCTGGAGGATGGACTGGTTGGATCTTCTCGCAGTCCAAGGCACTCTCAGAACTTTCCTCCAACACCACAGCTTCAAAAGCATCAATCTTCCTTCGCTCAGCCTTCCCCAAGGTCCAGCTCTCACATCCGTAGGTTACTACAGGGAATACCATGGCTTTGACTAGGCGGATCTTTGTTGCCAGTCTGATGTCTCTACTCTTCACTATTTTATCGAGACTTGGACATTGCTCTCCTCCCAAGAAGTAAACGTTTTCTGATTTCCTGGCCACAGTCTGCATCTGCAGTAATCTTTGCACCTAGAAATACAAAGTCTGTCACGGCCTCCACGTTTTCTCCCTCTATTTTCCAGTTGTCAATCATTCTTGTTGCCATAATCTTGGGTTTTTTTATGTTTAGCTGCAACCCAGCTTTTGCGCTTTCTTCTTTCACCTTGGTTAGAGAAGAAAGCGCAAAAGCTGGGCTGCAGCTAAACATTAGATTAGGTCACCATATTTCATCAGCTCTCAACACTGGGGCACCACAGGGCTGTGTGTTGAGTCCTCTGTTTTACACTTTGTACACACGATTGTACAAAGGTGTTTTGGACTTCAACTCCCACAATTCCCAGCATCTGGTAGCCTGTTAGGAATTGTGGGAGTTGAAGTCCAAAACACCTGGAGGGCCCAAGTTGAGCCAGGCCTGGAGAGTTGCACCCATGGTGGTCAATCAATTAAAATTGATTAAGTAATCAAATATCAATTCATTGCATTAGTAATTCCTCCCCACATCCAATAGCACAGGCAGGGCTGTTCTAAGGCACGAGCGCCACCTGTTGGATTTCTGCCTGAGAGTTAAAAGGCGCCTCGAGGAGGAGGAAGGCCTGCTCGCAGAGGGACACGTGGTTCCTCCCCGCGTCGCGCGCGAGCCTGACCAGTAGCCACGGGGAGGGCACAGCCGCACTATTTAGAAACCGGGCCCAAGCGTGGAGAGACTCCTCTCCTTACCTTGGCGGACGGGACCACCATAATCTTCTTGAAGTTGTAGAGCGCCATGGCTGCGGCCTCCTCGCCTGACGGCCGGCCCAGCAGGAAAAGGCAGAGCGGCGCCTGAAGGAGGGACTTCCGGGTTCCCACTTCTCGCGAGATAAAACCGGCACGCGAGAAAAGGAATGCTCCCAGGCTTCTGTCTGTTAACATAGACTTACGAATTTAATAGAGTCACATCCGCTTTCAACACAGCTACCTTCCGAGTTAAATTCACTTTAAAAAGCACATTCGTCTCTGTTTGCTTCCCCCAAATGGAGGAAAGATTCCCTTTCAGGCACAATGTCAATCTCACAGAGCCACCTCCTGCCCAGGAGGATGAAGCGCACATTCTTTTCCCAGCTCCCATGATATTTGAAAGTTACTAAAAAGGAGTATGTAATGTCTGAGCCCCCGGTGGCGCAGTGGGTTAAACCGCTGAGCTGCTAAACTTGTTGACTGAAAGGTCGCAGGTTCAAATCTGGGGAGCAGCGTGAGCTTCCGCAGTCAGCCCCAGCTACTGTCAACCTAGCAGTTTGAAAACATGCAAATATGAGTAGATCAATAGATAATAATAATAATAATAACACTTTATTTGTACCCCACTACCATCTCCCCGGAGCCCCCGGTGGCCCAGTGGGTTAAAGCACTGAGCTGCTGAGCTTGTTGATCAAAAAGTCGCAGGTTCGATTCCGGGGAGCGGCGTGAGCTTCCGCTGTCAGCCCTAGCTTCTGCCAACCTAGCAGTTCGAAAACATGCAAATGTGAGTAGATCAATAGGTACCGCTCCGGCGGGGAAAGGTACCGGCGCTCCATGCAGTCATGCCGGCCACATGACCTTGCAGGTGTCTACGGACAACGCTGGCTCTTCGGCTTAGAAATGGAGATGAGCACCACACCCCAGAGTCAATAGGTACCGCTCCAGTGGGAAGGTAATGGCGCTCCATACAGTCATGCTGGCCACATGACCTTGGAGGTGTCTATGGACAACGCTGGCTCTTCGGCTTAGAAATGGAGATGAGCACCACACCCCAGAATCAGACATGAGTGGACTTAATGTCAGGGGACTACCTTTACCTTTAATGTCTGAGCCCCCGGTGGCGCAGTGGGTTAAACCGCTGAGCTGCTAAACTAGTTGATTGAAAGGTCGCAGGTTCGAATCCAAGGAGCGGCGTGAGCTTCCGCTGTCAGCCCCAGCTTCTGTCAATCTAGCAGTTCGAAAATATGCAAATATGAGTAGATTAATAGATAATGATAATAATAACACTTTATTTGTACCCTGCTACCATCTCCCCAAGGGACTTGGTGTGGCTTACATGAGGCCGAGCCCAAATACAACAATACAAGCAATAATAACAACAATACAAGCAATTAAAATAAAAACATGGACAATAAAATAACGCAACATTAACAATTAAAGCACACAATTAAAACTGTGGGAAGGCCAAATGTAAAATAGATACCGCTCTGGTGAAAAGAGAACAGCCCCAGCTTCTGCCAACCTAGAAGAAGATAGGTACCGCTCTGGCAGGAAGGTAATGGCACTCCATGCAGTCATGCTGGCCAAATGACCTTGGAGGTGTCTACGGACAACGCCGGCTCTTCGGCTTAGAAATGGAGATGAGCACCAACTCCCCGAGTCGGACACGACTGGACTTAATGTCAGGGAAAAACCTTTACCTTTACTAATGTCTGAATCTGGTAGCATTCCAAATGCATATTATTTGAGAACACAGAAATGTCGGACTATTCCAACAACCACCATGTCAGACTACACAGAGAAGCCACTGAATTCCACAAGAATGTGGACAATTTCAACAGAAAGGAGGAAACCATGAAAATCAACAAAATCTGGCTACAAGTATTAAAAAAACTCCAAAATCAGAACAGTAAATAAAGAACAACACTCTGAAAACAGGGGCATTCCAGACATGAATCAGAGCCAACTAACAGCTCCCAACAAAGGATTCCCACAGACAGGAAGCAGCCAGGCTTTGAAGCTGAAAGGCCATTCAATACTAATCAAGGTGGCCAATTGCAACATTCTCACTTTCCACAAGCAAACAAAGAGTTATTTCTCCCAGCCTGGAAATTCCACAGATATATAAACCTCACTTGCCTAGTTTTCAACAAACCTCACAACCTCTGAGGATGCCTGCCATAGATGTGTGCAAAACGTCAGGAGAGAATGCTTCTGGGACATGGCCATACAACCCATAAAACTCACAGCAACCCAGTGATTCAGGTCATGAAAGCCTTTGACAAAATGTTCAAAAGGTTGTCTGAATGAAAGTTTTATCTTTGTTTGAGGAAGAAGTCCAAACATGGTTCCCTTTGTGGCATAATTTGGAAACAGGAAACATATGGTGATTTTGTTGCATTGCCATATTGGCTGTGCAACAAAATACAAAATACCAGATGAAGTTGCCAATTCTTCAGTTTGGATGGGATGAGCTCCAGGCCTGAGGATAGGGCATCTGCACTGTAGAATTAAGGCAGTTTGGCCCCTTGGTTAAATGTTATGGAATTATGGGAGCTGTATTTCACAAAGTCTTTAGTATTGAAGCGGAACATATGAAGTTTTAGTTTCCCTGCAGATACAGAGGGAAATAACCTAGCAAATTTAATCTGCGGAAGGGAGGCTCACATGGGAACAAAAGCTCAAAGTGTGTAAGTTTACTGAATATGGAAAAAGTGGCCATATTTATACACATAGAATTCCATGTGTGAACATTGCTACTCGCTTGAAATTCCCTCCCAGCCCTCTGATTGGTCCATGCAAAAAAGCCAGCCCCTGATTGGTCCAGGGGCGGGACCTTGCTGGCTTTCTCTTTGATTGGTCAAGAAGGTGGTGACATGGCCCCGGGGCCTCCAACAGTGAGGCCAGAGAGGTCATCACAATGTCAATCCAAAAATAATGCAAGTCCGAAAAACTGAATGAGCGGGTTATGCGGTATTGAGTCCAGGACTCAGGAACAATGTTGACTTGCCAGACTCAAGTACTTTCCCAGTGTGTCTATAGGAGGCTTGAGTGTATCTCCTCTTGGGTCACAGGTGGTGGCGATCTCCTAGAGGGAAGTTTCAGGTGGCATGTTGGAGCCCTCCTGTTGTTTGCCAGGAAGGGTCTTTGTCACCTTGATGGTTATCCAAAGCTGGCCCCGGGCTGGGAGGGGTCCTGGAGTGAGACTGCTCAGAGTTTCCTGGAGTTCATTGGGTTTTACCTTCAAAGTTTATTATTTCATTTTAAAAATAATTTTTATTGTTTTATAGTGTATAGAGGAAACAAAACAAATGAAAAAAGGAAAAAAGGGGAAAAAATGAAAAAGATTTACAAAAGGGTGTACATTCAGTGCTTGTTAAACATATGAACAACTAGACTTGGCTGTACAATTAATTATACCTTAACATTTCTTAACCCTCTATCCTCCCACCTGTGAACCCCATCCCATGACCTCCAAAGCCCCTCAAAAAAGGATCACACAACTAACCAGCAACTACCCACATATCTTCTTTCACTGAATCCCCTTTATGGCAATCTTCAAGTTTACCTTTGTCTTCTTTTCCAGAAATCCAAGTGCCAGCCTCCATTTGTTTGCAAAAAAAGTTTATTATTTCATAAAACATATAGAAGTAAAGAGAAATAAATAGAGGTGAAAAGAGAATGTGTCTTATTTCATATAGGGTTAGGGGAGGGGGAGAGCTGATTGCCTTATTTTTGTTTTTGTTTTTATAGAGTGCGCACATGCGCAGATCCACAATTAGAAAAATAATAAAAAGAAAATAGTTATAGATAGTGGGGTGAAATGGAGGGGGGCAAAAATATGATAGCTGGGACCCTACAAACCCTACGCTAGTTACGCAACGTGCGTCGGAATTGATGGAGAGAATTCCGCTTGGACTGTTCACAGCTGCTGGGACTGCTTTCTTCAATGGGTGGTGTCGGCCGGGGAAGGTTTTTACAAGGATCTAGTGTGAACAAAGTGGCAGGAACTGGATTCCCTCCCCCCTCCCCCTCTTCTTCTGCACCCCCCTGCCTGCTTTCTAACAGTGGAGGAGCCGGGGCTCCGGGAGGGCAGGACGTGTGAGCCGTAGACCCCCTCCCTCACAGCTGCGTCTCTCACTCGCTGCACTGTCTCGTGCGCATCTTCCCTTCATGAATTTGGACCCGCAGTGCACAATCAGCATACAGTCCCAGCTATCATACTTTTGCCTGGAGGGGAAAGCAATGAAGTCTGATGAGGGAGGAAGATAGATACAGTGTATCTTTGGCAGTGAGGCCAGTTGATAGTCTGTAGCACCAGCTATGTCTGGCCTCCCCAGGCTGCGCTTGTGCACTGCTGCGGAAAGATCCCAGCAAACCAACTGAGCCAGCCAGGCTGGCAGCATGGATGGTAGGGTTTTGGGAAAATTGGGGTTATGTGTTGCTGGTTAAGGGTACCTGGGAGTGTGATGGAGTGCCCTTCTCTGAAGGCTTGCAAGCAGAATGGTTATCTTTTGGGAGTGCTTTGATTTAATATTCCTGCATGGCAGAATGGCATTTGTGATCTCTCAACTCTAAGATTCTTTGACTCTAACTAAGACTTCTGTCTTAACTTCGAAACAGGACATATGTTCCTTCTCTTTCTGAATGACAGGCTGTGGGCAACTGTGTCTGGCACTTAAAGCATAAAGCTTAATGGCATCACTGGGAGTTATCCCTAGGTTCCAGAGCTTGGGATGATTCAGAACTAGCAACCCTACTACAAACACTGCCAAGACCGAGGAGACAGAGTGGCACCTGCCCCTTGGCTTACCCTCTTCTGATGAGCCAGCATGCCATTTGGTCCCAGGAGATAGACATTGATGTCAAAACTGCTTCAAAAACATGGACAAAAGTACAATTAACACTATGTTGTTGTAGGTTTTTCCGGGCTATATGGCCATGTTCTGGAGGCAATTTTTCTCCTGACGTTTCGCCTGCATCTATGGCAAGCATCCTCAGAGATAGTGAGGTCACTAGTGACCTCACTACCTCTGAGGATGCTTGCCATAGATGCAGGCGAAACGTCAGGAGAAAAATTGCCTCCAGAACATGGCCATACAGCCTGGAAAAA